CAAGAAAAAGGAATTTGGGAAAAGTAACTGAAGTATAAATAAATAAAAACGTTTTTTAAAAGACCCTACCAACGTTTTGTTGCTGTGACTGCACTTTAGAGTGTGTGTCATCCTGCAGAACAGCATTTTGGTAGAAGTTGAGGTCAGGTCTAATATTGACTATGCACCCAAGAGGGAAAGAGGTTGGGCCATCCTAGAAATGTTTTAGTGAAATATAATATAATATATAACATTTAGCAGACGATTTTATCTAAAGCGACTTACAGTCATGCATGAATACATTTTTATGCATGGGTGTAGTTTGAGGCTGGTATCTATCAGAACAGCAGCCTTGTTCCTGGTCACGATGCAGACATGGTCATATGGGACCCAGAGAAGTAGTTTGAGGCTATTATCTATCACAGGAATTTACAAAGAAGACGCGCACGCTCACACACACACACACACACACACACACAAACACACACACACACACACACACGGCCCTATTATTCTATATTTTATTTCCTATCCAAGAGAAGTCAGAGTTTTCCTTATTGGAATCTTCTCAGACTGCAGTATCTAAGCTGTGGGATTCCGCAAGGCAGCTGCCTAGGCCCCCTCCTCTACAAAATTTTTACTAATGATTTACCGTATGTAATACTAATGATTTACCGTATGTAATACTAATGATTTACCATATGTAATACTAATGATTTACCGTATGTAATACTGATGATTTACCATATGTAATACTAATGATTTACCGTATGTAATACTAATGATTTACCGTATGTAATACTAATGATTTACCGTATGTAATACTAATGATTTACCGTATGTAATACTAATGATTTACCGTATGTAATACTAATGATTTACCGTATGTAATACTAATGATTTACCGTATGTAATACTAATGATTTACAGTATGTAATACTAATGATTTACCGTATGTAGTACTAATGATTTACCGTATGTAATACTAATGATTTACCGTATGTAGTACTAATGATTTACCGTATGTAATACTAATGATTTACCGTATGTAATACTAATGATTTACCGTATGTAATACTAATGATTTACCGTATGTAGTACTAATGATTTACCGTATGTAATACTAATGATTTACCGTATGTAGTACTAATGATTTACCGTATGTAGTACTAATGATTTACCGTATGTAATACTAATGATTTACCGTATGTAATACTAATGATTTACCGTATGTAGTACTAATGATTTACTGTATGTAATACTAATGATTAAGAAGTGTTGTTATGTGTGCTGATGACTCTACAATGTATAGTGCTGCATCAGCACATAATGAGTTAACTGATGTACTGAACAATGAATAAAGAACTGTGTCTGAGTGGGTTGCGAAGAACAAATTGGTGTCAAACATTTCCAAGACCAAAGTATTGTGTTTGGCCCTAGAAATATTTGTGTTGGTGACCCGCAATTAAACTTGTCAATGGATGAACATGTGAAAAAGACCAAACTACTTGGCATCACATTGGACTTATCGTTATCCTGGTCTGATCATATAGTCAACATTAATGTATCGCTGTGACAAGAAAATGCTCATAGGTACCATCCGCCACTCTTTTGCCAGGTGATTCAATCTTTGGTCCTGTCACACCTAGAGTACTGTCCAGTCACATGGTCATCTGCAGCAAAAAATAACCAGCTCTTCATTCTGTTGAATGTAAATTACTCTACAGTCTTTAGATTTTTCTCAGAAATGCAATCCTTGTCATGAAACCCCATTTATTTCTCAAACCAATTAATATATACCGGCAGCAGATATAATCATAAAATCAGACAGGCAAGTTTTGGGCATCTGATACCCCCCCAGACCTTGGAGAAATCTTCTCAAATCAACAGTTATATATACTGAGCCATCACTGAATGGAACTCCCTACCAACTCATATTTGTCACGCCCTGGCTCTGGGGACTCTAATATGTTGAGCCAGGGTGTGTATAGTCTATGTGTGTTCTAGGTTTCACTTTCTGGTTTTGTAGATCTATGTTGGCCAGGATGGCTCCCAATCAGAGACGGCTGTAGCTCGTTGTCTCTGATTGGGAGTCATACTTAGGTAGCCGTTTGGCACTCATTCATTGTGGTTTCTTGTTCGTATTTGGTTTGTGTATTACCATTGACGGTCACGTCATCGTTTTGTTGTTTTGATCGTGTGATCATTCTATAAATAAATATGTTCGCCTTCAACGCTGCGCCTTGGTCCTCATCTCTGTTTGACGATCGTGACAGAAGAAACCACCAAGATTTGACCAAGCAGCGTGTCCAGGAGCCATCGCCAGGGAGATCTCTGGCAGATCTCCTTCGCCTCCTCGACTGGGTCAAGCCGAGTGAGGAAGAGAAGGGCTTGACATTGTGGCAGAAGGGCGAAAGGCTGGCGAGGGACATGGAGACCTGGTCCACGGGTAGGAGAGACGCCCAGAAATTTTTTAGGGGGGGGCTAACGCCGTGGACGACGGGCCAGCAGGAGACCGCGGCAGAGCGGCCCAGCGGATTGGCAGAGGAGGCCGCCAGGTTACGGGGGCCACTGGTCGAAGAGGGGGTGGAAGGTGTAGAGGCACGGCGAGAGGTACTGGGGTGTGTTACCAGTCCGGTCCGGCCCATTCCAGATCCCTGCGTAGGACCAGTGGTGTGTGTCCCCAGTACGGTCCGGCCTGTTCCTGCTCCCCGCACCAAGTCAGTGGTGCGCTTCGTCAGCCCGGCTCGGCCCGTTCCTGCTCCCCGCACCAAGTCAGTGGTGCGCTTCGTCAGCCCGGCTCGGCCCGTTCCTGCTCCCCGCCCCAAGTCAGTGGAGCGCTTCGTCAGCCCGGCTCGGCCCGTTCCTGCTCCCCGCACCAAGTCAGTGGTGCGCTTCGTCAGCCCGGCTCGGCCCGTTCCTGCTCCCCGCACCAAGTCAGTGGTGCGCTTCGTCAGCCCGGCTCGGCCCGTTCCTGCTCCCCGCCCCAAGTCAGTGGAGCGCTTCGTCAGCCCGGCTCGGCCCGTTCCTGCTCCCCGCACCAAGTCAGTGGTGCGCTTCGTCAGCCCGGCTCGGCCCGTTCCTGCTCCCCGCACCAAGTCAGTGGTGCGCTTCGTCAGCCCGGCTCGGCCCGTCCCTGCTCCCCGCACCAAGTCAGTGGTGCGCTTCGTCAGCCCGGCTCGGCCCGCTCCTGCTCCCCACACCAAGCCAGTGGTGTGCGTCGTCAGTCCGGCACGGCCCGTGCCTGTTCCACCGGTGGCTGGTCCGGCACCGGTCAGATGCTTCACACCGGAGCTAGAGCAATCCGCTCCACCAGTGTGCAGTCCAGCTCCGGCCAGCGGGGCCAGACCGGACCAGGGGTACTTTGGGGGGTTGGAGAGGGAGCGGGGATCAGGCCCGGAGCCGGATCCGCCGCCTAAGCGGAGTGCCCACCCGGTCCCTCCCCTGTGGTATTTGGTGGGCGCGGTCGGAGTCCGCGCCTTTAGGGGGGGGGGGGGTACTGTCACGCCCTGGCTCTGGGGACTCTAATATGTTGAGCCAGTCTATGTGTGTTCTAGGTTTCACTTTCTGGTTTTGTAGATCTATGTTGGCCAGGGTGGCTCCCAATCAGAGACGGCTGTAGCTCGTTGTCTCTGATTGGGAGTCATACTTAGGTAGCCGTTTGGCACTCATTCATTGTGGTTTCTTGTTCGTATTTGGTTTGTGTATTACCATTGACTGTCACGTCATCGTTTTGTTGTTTTGATCGTGTGATCATTCTATAAATAAATATGTTCGCCTTCAACGCTGCGCCTTGGTCCTCATCTCTGTTTGACGATCGTGACAATATTTCCCAAGTGAAAAGTGAATTCACATTCAAGAAAACATTAAAAGTACATCTACTAAGATTGACCATATGACTGGACAGATACTGACAGATTGACTGTTAAATGTTACCTTTTCAAGTATTTTAAATGTCTGTAATGTCTACTTGTTAATGTTTTTATTTGTTTTATACATGTAAATTGTAAAGTATTTGTCTGTAATGTCCTTTTCTGTATGTGTCGGACCCCAGGAAGACTGACTAGCTGTCGTCATGGCGTCAGCTAATGGGGATCCAAATTAAATTAAATTCAGGAAGTACACTGAAATTAATTGTAATTGGAAAGTAGTGTACTTTCAGAATTGACTGGAATTTAAATTATATTGACCGCAACACTGGAGGAGATCTAGACATCCCTGTGACTCCCTGGGGGGAAAAAATGGCAATGAATGATACTGACTGGACTATCCTCGCCAAAATAAATACAATAAATATACATTTTATTTTATTGTCACATACACCGGATAGGTGCAGTGAAATGTGTTGTTTTACAGGATCAGCCATAGTAGTACGGTGCCCCTGGAGCAAATTAGAGTTAAGTGCCTTGCTCAAGGGCACATCGACCGATCTTTCACTTTTTCGGTTCAGGTATTAGAACCAGCGAACTTTCGGTTAATGGCCCAACACTCTAAATGAATGGTGTTGCAACTTCCAAGGTGTTGAAATAAACAAAGCCCACTGAGAGTCTTTACAACATTTCTCCCTCCCCCCTAAATTGACTAGATTCCAAGGGATAACAGTTTAGGATCTAGAGGAGAGAGTGGGGGTTGGTCTCCTGTGCCTGTTCACTGCCTCTGTGTGTCACTGAGTAACCACTGACCAAACAGACACCTTGGAGTGATCTAGGAACCATATCAGCTCACCACAAACAAAACACCCTGAATTAAAAACAGGGCAGAATCACATGATCACAGAAATACACGTTTTATTAGACAAGTTTCAAGGTCTTCATGTTTACCATTAGGTTTATTTGACTGAAATGGAAAAAGTGAGTGTCTGCTGAATTCTGCCTACAGTGCGGGATATAATTCTATGACCTACTGAAGCAGTGGTGGTCCATGATTAACCCTCGTAAATGTGTGTTGAGCAACGGTGTGAGTAAATTAACGAAACAAACATGTGACCTGTAAATAGTGTGTAATAAATGGGCAATATGTTTGTGGTTTTATGCAATCTGATAAAAAAAAAATTCAGGAGTGAACAACGAAAGGTTTGCTCGAACGAAATTCTCACAATGAAAACAGTATGCAAACCAAACATAGAAGTGGGAGGGGTTTAAAGGCCTCTTTCGTCAAATGAGAGGTGTGCGTCTGACAGGCTGCTTACAGAGTCGGAGTCCAGCCGGTGCATTTTCTCATATCCACACGGCCAACAGCCCAGCTACTGCCATGTCGTCCCTCTCCGTCCCGCCACCAAAATGTCTCCAGAAAACCTTTGTGGCTCCGCAGCGACACATGTTTGGACCCGGACCGTCCAATGTTCCTGCTCGGATCTTAGCGGCGGGGGCCGAGCCCATCATCGGTCACATGCATCCAGAAATGCTCGAGGTATGTCTACAAAGTTTGGTTATGAGCAAACAATCTCAACTAAGATAACCGTGCACAAAATGTACTTTTATGCAGGATTTATGTGTATGCCTAATGGTTGAATTCGACGCATAATTATTTGATATTTTAGATAAGGCTTGTGATATTATACCCTAACCATTTTGTCTGTTTTGGTTTAGCTGCTTGTGTCTTTCTTATGCATTAACAAGTAGTTTAGATAGGGATCTCCCAAGCAAATGTGTTTTATGAACATTTCAAGATTACATTTTACATTTTACATTTTAGTCATTTAGCAGACGCTCTTATCCAGAGCGACTTACATGAGCAATTAGGGTTAAGTGCCTTGCTCAAGGGCACATCGACAGATTTTTCACCTAGTCGGCTCGGGGATTAGAACCAGCGACCTTTCGGTTACTGGCACAACGCTCTTAACCACTAAGCTACCTGCCGCCCAGATTAGCCAAGTATCTGTGAACCAGCCTTTTTGGGGGTCCTAAGCGAGATTTGGTTGGGGGCCCCCCACCTTGCGGGCAAAACGTTTTTGGCAGTAAATACGTTTTTTTGGCACTAGCTAGGTTTCCATCCAATTGGGGACAGATTTTCATGCGAAGATTCTTAAAATGTGCATAAAAAACAATATGCACATTTTCCCACCTGAGATGTTTCCATCAAATTGACTTGTTGCAGATAAAAGGCTGTGGGTGATGACGTACTGTACATAAAAATACATTTTGCGGTTAAATTCCCATGTACCGAAATAAAAAATAAAAACTGAAATGGGTTTCCATCGCATTTTCAACTCTACTGATGGTTTTGCCACCATTTTTATTTGTTAAATAGCAATTGTGCCTACTCTGGTCTTGGCATGCACGCTCTAGCAAACAGCGTGCCGATACAATGTGGGTAGGTTACCACTCTCTCCCGAGTGGCGCAGTGGTCTAAGGCACTGCATCGCAGTGCTAGCTGTGCCACTAGAGATCCTGGTTCGAATCCAGGCTCTGTCGTAGCCGGCCGCGACCGGGAGACCCATGGGGCGGCGCACAATTGGCCCAGCGTCGTCCAGGGTAGGGGAGGGAATGGCCGGCAGGGGATGTAGCTCAGTTGGTAGAGCATGGCGTTTGCAACGCCAGGGTTGTGGGTTCGATAAAATAATGTATGCGCTAACTGTAAGTCGCTCTGGATAAGAGCGTCTGCTAAATGACTAAAATGTAAATGTAATTATTATGGATGAGAGACAGATTATTTGTATTTGTCAAACGGCAGCCAAGGATCGATCATCATGTCACCAAAGTAACTCTCGATATTTATTGGAAAGGCGCATCAAGCTCATCACTGTGCACTTTCATCATAAGTTATCACATCTAGCCTAATAAACTACATTTGGAAAGTTTACCGACAAATTTGCTGATTCCATAAGGCCTGTCATTGGATGGAAACCTGGTTAGTGTAAAGTACATCTCCTGCAATTCTTCACATTTTGCCATTACTTATTATTATTATTTATTTTTTGTCATTTAGCAGACACTCTTATCCAGAGCGACTTACAGGAGCAATTAGTGTTAAGTGCCTTGCTTAAGGGTACATCAACAGATTTTTCACCTAGTCGGCTCGGGGATTAGAACCAGCGACCTTTCGGTTACTGGCACAACGCTCTTACCCACTAAGCTAACTGCCGCCCATGTTATGCCATGTTCATATGATATCTGTTTGAGAATGACTACCAAAATCAATGGGGGCCCCCTGGAGGTCAGGGCCCTTGAACACATGCCCTGCGTGCCCAGTCAGCATGGTGATGATTAGGCCTACAAGGTCTAGATAGATACCTTACCTAGCAATCAAAAAACATACTAGCTGACATGGGTTCATTGAGTGACTGACGTAACAAGTTGAATACTTCTGATGCACTTCCAAATTTCGAAATTGCAACTTGTGTTTTTTACTTTTCTAACTTTCAACAGTAAGTTGAGACCCTGACTGAGTTCAAAAAAATATAAATAGCACATTTGGGTCGTGGGGCCCCCTAGTGGCTGCGGGGCCCTAAGTGCAGCGTGCCGTCTGCGTATAGGAAGAGGCGGCTCTGCTTTGTAAAGCCATGTGTGTGTGTGTAGTTCTGTTGGTACTACCCATCTACCTATTACAGTGTTGAGACAAACGTGCCTAATCATTGTATGAGATGTAGGATAGGATAGGATGAACTTTAACGTCTCGAGGGGGAAATTGTCTTATACACACAGTACTGCTGTGTACAAAATAGACTGTACATTACACGCTAGATATAATGCATACAGTACACATCCTAATACTCAGTGCCTTGCCCGACAGACTCTTGGTCCCATTAATCATCTCTTTACTGTACTGCGTTTGTTTCCAGATAATGAGCGACATCAAGAGCGGGATCCAGTACGCCTTCCAGACCCAGAACAACATGACGATAGCCGTGAGTGGCACGGGACACACGGCCATGGAGTGTGCCATCTTCAACGCCGTCGAGCCAGGGGAAGGGGTTCTCACTGCAGTCAATGGGATCTGGGGAGAACGGGCAGCGGAGATGGCAGAGAGGATGGGTACTTGATTGTTATGGGACGCGTTCCAAATACTACCCTATTCCCTTTATAGAGACCCATAGGGCCCTGGTCAAAAGTAGTGCACTATATAGTGAATAGGGTGTCATTGGGCAACCATTGCTTCTGTCCCTCTCCTTACCCTAACCTGGGCTCGAACCAGGGACCCTCTGAACATTTCAACAACTGCCTTCCCACGAAACATTGTTACCCATCGCTCCGCAAAAGCCACAGCCTTAGCAGAGCAAGGGAAACAACTACTTCAAGGTCTCAGAGCGAGTGACGTCACCCACTGAAACGCTACTAGCGTGCACAGCTAACTAGCTAGCAATTTCACACCATTCACTGTACATGCCTATGCCTGTGACACAAATATGAACCAGCGGGCAAACCTGGTTGTAAAGACCTCGTTTCAAATACAGTAGCTTTGCCCACCGGGGAAGTTCCCTTTGAATTGACAATTTTGTGATTTACATAATACATTTATCATCAACCCAACAGGTGCCAGAGTTAATTCCATTGTGACATCTGCGGGGGGGTATTTCACCAGTGAAGAGATTGATCAGGTAATGACACACATCTCATTTGATCTGCTCATACCCTAACCTTCATCTATAGGTATAGATACTCATAGTTATACTCCTGAGTGGCGCAGTGGTCTAAGGCACTGTGCCACTAGAGATCCTGGTTCGAATCCAGGCTCTGTTGCGACCGGGAGACTCATGGGCGGCGCACAATTGGCCCAGCGTCGTCCAGGGTAGGGGAGGGAATGGCCGGCAGGGATGTAGCTCAGTTGATAGAGCATGGTGTTTGCAACGCCAGGGTTGTGGGTTCGATTCCCAAGGGGGGCCAGTATATAAAAAATATGTATTCACTAACTGTAAGTCGCTCTGTATAAGAGCGTCTGCTAAATGACGTAAATGTAAATACCCTAACCTCCATCTATAGGTACAGATACTCATACCCTAACCTTCATCTATAGGTACTCATACCCTAACCTTCATCTATAGGTATAGATACTCATACCCTAACCTTCATCTATAGGTATAGACGTTCATACTCTAACCTTCATCTATAGGTACAGATACTCATACCCTAAACTTCATCTATAGGTATAGATACTCATACCCTAACCTTCATCTATAGGTATAGATACTCATACCCTAACCTTCATCTATAGGTATAGACGTTCATACTCTAACCTTCATCTATAGGTACAGATACTCATACCCTAAACTTCATCTATAGGTATAGATACTCATACCCTAACCTTCATCTATAGGTACTCATACCCTAACCTTCATCTATAGGTACAGATACTCATACCCTAACCTTCATCTATAGGTACAGATACTCATACCCTAACCTTCATCTATAGGTATAGATACTCATACCCTAACCTTCATCTATAGGTATAGATATACCAAATTGCTGCTATCTGATAGACCATGTGTGCGTCCCAAATGACACCATATTCCCTATGTAGTGGACTACTTTTGACCAGGGCCCATCTCTTTCTGTGCATCAAGACTGCTATTTCTGATCTGTCATGTCACTGTTTCACCCCAGGCCCTGGCCAAACACAAGCCTGTACTGTTCTTCCTAACCCATGGAGAATCCTCCACAGGAGTAGTTCATCCACTAGATGGAATTGGAGACATTTGTCACAAGTAAGCGCCCCTATCCAACTCTTCAGCTATTCAGTGTTATAAAAAAACCAACAGACAATATACAGTACCAGTGAATCATTTGCATAAAGTAATGCCACTCTTTTCTTTCTGCAAGGCACAACTGTCTGTTTCTTGTTGACTGTGTGGCTTCAATGGGAGGTGCACCACTTTACATGGACAAACAAGGTATGGTGTTGTAGTGACCCTGTAGCATATAGTACAGGGACCATGCAGGTATAACTGAGTTTCTGTTGAGAGGGATGAGCAAAGAGCACATCACTGTTACAGAGACACCAGTTGCTCAAGGATACAAAGACAGGTTTATCAAGACCACCTAGTCAAAGACCCTGGGGGGAAAGTTAGTTAAAGACCCTGGAGGGAAAGTTAGTTAAAGACCCTGGGGGGAAAGTTAGTCAAAGACCCTGGGGGGAAAGTTAGTTAAAGACCCTGGGGGGAAACATAGTTAAAGACCCTGGGGGGAAAGTTAGTCAAAGACCCTGGGGGGAAAGTTAGTTAAAGACCCTGGGGGGAAAGTTAGTTAAAGACCCTGGGGGGAAAGTTAGTTAAAGACCCTGGGGGGAAAGTTAGTTAAAGACCCTGGGGGGAAAGTTAGTTAAAGACCCTGGGGGGAAAGTTAGTTAAAGACCCTGGGGGGAAAGTTAGTTAAAGACCCTGGGGGGAAAACTAGTTAAAGACCCTGGGAGAAAACTAGTTAAAGACATTTACATTTTAGTCATTTAGCAGACGCTCTTATCCAGAGCGACTTACAGTTAGTGAGTGCATACATTATTTTATTTTTTCATACCCCCTGTGGGAATCGAACCCACAACCCTGGCGTTGCAAACGCCATGCTCTACCAACTGAGCTACATCCCTGTAAGACCCTGGGGGGAAGCTTGCCTCTGTATTCTTATGTTGATGCTTATTATGAAGCTATTTTGGACTATTGAGATGCACCAAAACCCTGCATATAACTTTGCTACATACCTATTATTTAGCCATGTGAAAATAGCATTACAACTAGTTTAATGAATTGTACTGCCAATAAGAGCTTACAGATTTCAGGTTGAAACTTACCTAGTCAAGTTAATGTTGGTTCCTTGTGTTTTCCTCAGGTATCGACATCCTGTACACTGGCTCACAGAAGGTCCTGAACGCCCCTCCAGGGACCGCCCCCATCTCCTTCAGTGAAAGAGCTTGGTGAGGAAGGTGTTCTAATCTGTAACGTTTAGAAATGTAAAAAACATGACATGTTGGTCGCACTTTTTAATGCTACAAAAAAATGACCTGATATTTACTAAGCAACTGCATGTTAAAATGGTAATTAAACAGTCATGACTTATAAATGACTTGTTTTCTAAGAACACTTGTCCTTTTTCTACTTCTATCCAGTCAGAAAGTATTCAATCGGAAAACAAAGCCGGTGTCGTTCTTCCTGGACATGACCTGGCTGGCAAACTACTGGGGGTGTGATGGCAAACCTGATAGAATGTGAGACACCCATAATGCATTACATCAGAACCGTGTAACGCCAACACATAATCTAACACCACGTTCTATAACATGATCTACCTTAACAAAAACACAGTTTAACAGTTTGATCTACCTTAACGAAAACACAGTTTAACAGTTTGATCTACCTTAACAAAACACAGTTTAACAGTTTGATCTACATGAACAAAAACACAGTTTAAGAGTTTGATCTACCTTAACAAAAACACAGTTTAACAGTTTGATCTACCTTAACAAAAACACAGTTTAACAGTTTGATCTACCTTAACAAAAACACAGTTTAACAGTTTGAGACGATGAATCTGTGAATGTGTCACGCCCTAGCTCTGGGGACTCTTAAATGTTGAGCCAGGGTGTTTAGTTTCTATGTTTAGTTTTCGATGTTTGAGTTTCTAGATCATGTAGATCTATGTTGACCAGGGTGGTTCCCAATCAGAGGCAGCTGTAGTTCATTGTCTCTGATTGGGGACCATACTTAGGCAGCCGTTTGGCACCAGTCTGTGTGGGATCTTGTTCCGAAAGGTTTGTTTAGTATAACCTAGGACTTCACGTATCGTTTGTTTGTTGTTTTGGTTTCGTGTTGTGTACGAAATAAAATGTACGCTTATCACGCTGCGCCTTGGTCCGTGTCTTCAGTCGACGATCGTGACAGAAGATCCCACCTTAAGAGGACCAAGCAGCGTGTCCAGGAACAGACAGCCTGGACTTGGGAGGAGATCCTGGACGGGAAGGGATCCTGGACTTGGGAAGAGATTCAGGCCGGAATGGATCGCCGTCCTTGGGAGGAGACTGTGGAGGCGCGCTACAGAGAGGAGCAGCGGCAACGCAGAGGGTACCGGCCAAGGAGGAAGCCCGAGAGACAGCCCCAAGAAGGTGGGGGCTAAAAGGTTGGTTGGCGGAGCCTAGAGTTAGAGCAGAGCCAACTCCCCATACTCAGGCTAGGAAGCGTGAGACTGGGCAGGCTCCGTGTTATGCGGAGCCACGTACTGTGCCGCGAGTGTTCCGGCACAGTCCTGTACGTCCTGTGCTAGCACCACGCACGTGTCGTGCTAAGGTGGGCATGCAGCCAGGACGGGGTGTGCCGGCTCAACGCTCGTGGCCTCCAGTACCCCTCCTCGGTCCCGTATATCCTGCGCCAGTGCCACGTGCTGTAGCGCCAGTACGAGTGCACAGCCCTGTACGTCCTGTGCTGATGCCTCACACATATTGTGTGGAAATAGGCATTCAGCCAGGACGGGTTGTGTCAGCTCTCCGCTCCAGACCTCCAGTCCGCCTCCACAGTCCGCCCCGGCCCATTCCGGCTCCCCGCACCAAGCCAGTGGTGCGTGTTCCCAGTCTAGCCCGGCCTGCTCCTGTCCCTCGCACCAAGCCAGTGGTGCGCGGCGCCAGCCCAGTCCGGCCTGTTCCTGTCCCTCGCACCAAGCCTGTGGTGCGCGTCGCCAGCCCGGTCCGGCCTGTTCCTGCTCGCCGCATCAAGCATAGTGGTGCGCGTCGCCAGCCCGGTCCGGCCTGTTCCTGCTCCCCGCACCAAGCCAGTGGTGCGCGTCGCCAGCCCGATCCGGCCTGTTCCTGCTCCCCGCACCAAGCCTGTGGTGCGCGTCGCCAGCCCGGTCCGGCCTGTTCCTGCTCCCCGCACCAAGCATGTGGTGCGCGTCGCCAGCCCGGTCCGGCCTGTCCCTGCTCCCCGCACCAAGCCAGTGGTGCGCGTCGCCAGCCCGGTCCGGCCTGTTTCTGCCCCTCGCACCAAGCCAGTGGTGCGCGTCGTCAGCCCGTTCCTGCTCCCCGCACCAAGCCAGTGGTGCGCGTCGCCAGCCCGGTCCGGCCTGTTCCTGCTCCCCGCACCAAGCCAGTGGTGCGCGTCGTCAGCCCGGTCCGGCCTTTCCTGCTCCCCGCACCAAGCCAGTGGTGCGCGTCGTCAGTCCGGCACGGCCTGTGCCTGTTCCACCGGTCAGCCGCTCCACTCCGGAGCAAGAGCAATCCGTTCCACCGGTGTCCAGTCCAGCTCCGGCCAGCAGGACCAGACCAAGGGCACAACGGGGGGGTGGAGAGAGAGTGGTGGTCACGCCCGGAGCCGGATCCGCCTCCGAGGCGGAATGCCCACCCGGCCCCTACCCTCTTGTGTTTGTGTGGCGCGGTCGCAGTCCGCGCCTTTGGGGGGGGGGGGTACTGTCACGCCCTTGCTCTGGGGACTCTTAAATGTTGAGCCAGGGTGTTTAGTTTCTATGTTTAGTTTTCGATGTTTGAGTTTCTAGATCATGTAGATCTATGTTGGCCAGGGTGGTTCCCAATCAGAGGCAGCTGTAGTTCGTTGTCTCTGATTGGGGACCATACTAAGACAGCCGTTTGGCACCAGTCTGTGTGGGATCTTGTGGGATCCGAAAGGTTTGTTTAGTATAACCTAGGACTTCACGTATCGTTTGTTTGTTGTTTTGGTTTCGTGTTGTGTACGAAATAAAATGTACGCTTATCACGCTGCGCCTTGGTCCGTGTCTTCAGTCGACGATCGTGACAGAATGTCAAGGGATCGCTGCTTAGAGTGTAAGTAAAGCAGTATTTATCTTTAGTGACAGTACTTAGTCTGACCTGTTGTTCCTGTGTGCAGATACCACCACACTGTGCCTGTGTCTGCCTTCTATTCTCTCCGGGAGAGTCTGGCTATCCTCGCTGAACAGGTGACTATAGTCTGCTTCCTAAATCATGATGCCATTCACCCTCTCTATAAGATAGTGTTACATCTTATAGATTAATACAATAATTAACGGGGATAAATATATATCATAGCCCTCTGATACGTGTTAAATCATCCACTGATCTTACACCTCTCTCTCTCTCTGAGATTTAAGATAATTGAAAACAGGAATATGTCATAGCAGCATAGCACACGGTAGTTGTGTTGGTGACGATGAAACGACTCACTGTGGCTCTACTCTGTCCCAGGGTCTGGAGAACTCCTGGCAAAGACACAAGGAGGTAGCAGAATACTTCCACGAAGGACTAGAGAACATGGGCCTCAAACTGTTTGTGAAAGACAAGGTCAGTATCAAAAGGCCTCAGAACGATTTACTGTCAACTATTTACTGTAGGCCTAGTCTATATAAAGTACAAATGCAAAAAACACATTAAATCATTTCGATCTTTAACTAACACATACATTATAAACTTTTTTTTTCTGTGCCGTAATATATTGAAGACAACAACATGTTTTAATGTAAAACACAACACTCAGACACCTTAAAACCCTCCTCTTTCCATTGATGGTTCCATTTGCCAGAACGCCAGGTTACCTACAGTCACCACTATAGTAGCACCCCCTGGGTATGACTGGAAGGAGATCACCAGCTACACCATGAAGAACCACAACCTAGAGATCTCTGGAGGACTGGGACCATCCGTTGGCCAGGTGAGTTACTTCAAGGGTACTCCTGGGCAGAGCAAAATGTACTTGGTGGTACAGTAGCCAAAAAAAAAGGTTGAGAACCACTGAGTTGGTGGGCTGAGGCTGTCTAAGCCAGGACACAGAGTGGACTACTGCTGCTTCTTAGTTTTAGATGAGTTAACAGTCATAGCAGGCAGCCCCACTTATGCAGGGGAACGTTTGGGTTAAGTAGCTACGATCGCGGTCATTAGCCCTCTTCGCTAATGATAACAGCCATAGTCTAATGCTGCAATAACAGGAAGGCAACACTCACGTTGGTAGTGTGGGCTCAACCATGCCTTCTCCTATGTGCAAACCCGGCTCACTGACCTGTCTGTCTCTCTCCTCAGGTGCTGCGTGTGGGACTCATGGGATGTAACAGCAGCAAGACAAGTGTTGACATGGTGCTGGAGGCCCTGAGAGATGCTCTCAGATACTGCCATAAGACCAAATTATAACATGGAGTCTGAAAGTCAGTTTAAGTCAGCTTTGATATCAGGGAAGAAAAATGTAATGGATATGTTGAATCTGAAGAAGAAAAAATTAAACTGAAAAAAAACAAAAACATTATGGGTTTGTTTGTTACCTCTGACTCAAGTGTTGTGTAAACTTCTAATAAAATACACTGCTCAAAAAAAATAAAGGGAACACTTAAACAACACAATGTAACTCCAAGTCAATCACACTTCTGTGAAATCAAACTGTCCACTTAGGAAGCAACACTGATTGACAATACATTTCACATGCTGTTGTGCAAATGGAATAGACAACAGGTGGAAATTATAGGCAATTAGCAAGACACCCCCAATAAAGGACTGGTTTTGCAGGTGGTGACCTGTCACTTTTGAATGCTGGCGGTGCTTTCACTCTAGTGGTAGCCTGAGACGGAGTCTACAACCCACACAAGTGGCTGAGGTAGTGCAGCTCATCCAGGATGGCACATCAATGCGAGCTGTGGCAAGAAGGTTTGCTGTGTCTGTCAGCGTAGTGTCCAGAGCATGGAGGCGCTACCAGGAGACAGGCCAGTACATCAGGAGACGTGGAGGAGGCCGTAGGAGGGCAACAACTCAGCAGCAGGACTGCTACCTCTGCCTTTGTGCAAGGAGGAGCAGGAGGAGCACTGCCAGAGCCCTGCAAAATGACCTCCAGCAGGCCACAAATGTGCATGTGTCTGCTCAAACGGTCAGAAACAGACTCCATGAGGGTGGTATGAGGGCCCGACGTCCACAGGTCGGGGTTGTGCTTACAGCCCAACACCGTGCAGGACGTTTGGCATTTGCCAGAGAACACCAAGATTGGTAAATTCGCCACTGGCGCCCTGTGCTCTTCACAGATGAAAGCAGGTTCACACTGAGCACGTGACAGACGTGACAGTCTGGAGACGCCGTGGAGAACGTTCTGCTGCCTGCAGAACGTCCTCCAGCATGACCAGTTTGGCGGTGGGTCAGTCATGGTGTGGGGTGGCATTTCTTTGGGGGGCCGCACAGCCCTCCATGTGCTCGCCAGAGGTAGCCTGACTGCCATTAGGTACCGAGATGAGATTCTCAGACCCCTTGTGAGACCATATGCTGGTGCGGTTGGCCCTGGGTTCCTCCTAATGCAAGACAATGCTAGACCTCATGTGGCTGGAGTGTGTCAGCAGTTCCTGCAAGAGGAAGGCATTGATGCTATGGACTGGCCCGCCCGTTCCCCAGACCTGAATCCAATTGAGCACATCTGGGACATCATGTCTCGCTCCATCCACCAACGCCATGTTGCACCACAGACTGTCCAGGAGTTGGCGGATGCTTTAGTCCAGGTCTGGGAGGAGATCCCTCAGGAGACCATCCACCACCTCATCAGGAGCATGCCCAGGCATTGTAGGGAGGTCATACAGGCACGTGGAGGCCACACACACTACTGAGCCTCATTTTGACTTGTTTTAAGGACATTACATCAAAGTTGGATCAGCCTGTAGTGTGGTTTTCCACTTTAATTTTGAGGGTGACTCCAAATCCAGACCTCCATGGGTTGATACATTTGATTTCCATTGATAATTTTTGTGTGATTTTGTTGTCAGCACATTCAACTATGTAAAGAAAAAAGTATTTAATGAGATTATTTCATTCATTCAGATCTAGGATGTGTTATTTTAGTGTTCCCTTTATTTTTTTGAGCAGTGTATATGTTATGTGATTGTGGGTTTTCCTTTCATTGAATAAAAAATAAATGCAATATTCTTAACGCTTTCAATGTTTGAATACATTTTTGTCGCTTGTCTTCCAAAGCTTTAATACTATTCTGTCATTTTACATTTTATTTTAAAGAAGAAGAAGGGGGGGCGGGGGGGGGGGGCCACCCACAGTTTGGGAACCATTGGTCTAAAACATATACTTCCACAGTGTTGTCTTTACTTTGTTGTTCAGATACTAATAGCCAGTTATACACCTTGTATTTACATGGGTATAGCCATATACATGTTGTGTAATAAGACTTTGTGTCATTACTTGTTCAGTCTTTATACATTCTTGCAAATCCTCAGACTCCTTGAATCTCTCGTCCCCCCTCAGTCCGGCTTTAAACTTCCTCTTTTAAAGTTGTAATAGTAGAATGCACAAGGTGCAATTTCGGAATTGGGTAGAGCATCATCAGTTCCTCTTCTCATGTTAGTCATTGCAGACCTTAGAGAGCTATTTACAGAAATGTCCAGATCAACTAGCCCATGGCAGCTAACGTTTTTTTTTGTGTTTTTTTTTATTTGTTTAGGCCATAGTTATTGTTGTAATATTTTTAGTCACTCAAATATCACATGAATACACATTAGAGATGGCTAAATGTATAGAATTGCAAGAACATTTGCTTTAAAAACGGCAAAATGTTATTTGCACCCCATGACAAAATGTGTAGAATTGCAGGAAATGAGCTTTAAACATGCAACATTCCTTCCACCAACCAGAGGGGTGGGAACATGATCTCCACCAACCAGAGGGGTGGGAACATGATCTCCACCAACCAGAGGGGTGTGAACATGATCTCCACCAACCAGAGGGGTGGGAACATGATCTCCACCAACCAGAGGGGTGTGAACATGATCTCCACCAACCAGAGGGGTGGGAACATGATCTCCACCAACCAGAGGGGTGTGGACATGATCTCCACCAACCAGAGGGGTGTGAACATGATCTCCACCAACCAGAGGGGTGGGAACATGATCTCCACCAACCAGAGGGGTGTGAACATGATCTCCACCAACCAGAGGGGTGGGAACATGATCTCCACCAACCAGAGGGGTGTGAACATGATCTCCACCAACCAGAGGGGTGGGAACATGATCTCCACCAACCAGAGGGGTGTGAACAGTTTGGGTCATGGACAGTCTCCACCAACCAGAGGGGTGGGAACAGTTTGGGTCATGGACAGTCTCCACCAACCAGAGGGGTGGGAACAGTTTGGGTCATGGACAGTCTCCACCAACCAGAGGGGTGGGAACAGTTTGGGTCATGGACAGTCTCCACCAACCAGAGGGGTGGGAACAGTTTGGGTCATGGACAGTCTCCACCAACCAGAGGGGTGGGAACAGTTTGGGTCATGGACAGTCTCCACCAACCAGAGGGGTGGGAACAGTTTGGGTCATGGACAGTCTCCACCAACCAGAGGGGTGGGAACAGTTTGGGTCATGGACAGTCTCCACCAACCAGAGGGGTGGGAACAGTTTGGGTCATGGACAGTCTCCACCAACCAGAGGGGTGGGAACAGTTTGGGTCATGGACAGTCTCCACCAACCAGAGGGGTGGGAACAGTTTGGGTCATGGACAGTCTCCACCAACCAGAGGGGTGGGAACAGTTTGGGTCATGGACAGTCTCCACCAACCAGAGGGGTGGGAACAGTTTGGGTCATGGACAGTCTCCACCAACCAGAGGGGTGGGAACAGTTTGTGTCATGAACAGTGCTTGCGCCCATAGAAATAGTGGCACGTGCTGGCGTGGGATGTTCCCCAATGCTGGAAGGGGGGACCCCGAGTGGAAAGAGTTTGGGAACCCCTGTTGTAGACAATCAATTTGTAATAAAGGTTCTAAAAGTAAAATACACAACTAATATAAAAATACACTTGTGAATAAATAAATGAACATGTAAAACCTACTACTTTGTCAATCCAACTACCTATGTAACTTCTTTGACATCTAGACTATCGTTATCCCTGTCCTAGCTAGTGACATCTAGGCTATCCTTATCCTTATCCCTGTCCTATCTAGTGACATCTAGGCTATCCTTATCCCTGTCCTAGCTAGTGACATCTAGACTATCCTTATCCTTATCCCTGTCCTATCTAGTGACATCTAGACTATCCTTATCCGTATCCCTGTCCTAGCTAGTGACATCTAGGCTATCCTTATCCTTATCCCTGTCCTATCTAGGGACATCTAGGCTATCCTTATCCCTGTCCTAGCTAGGGACATCTAGTCTATCCTTATCCCTGTCCTAGCTAGGGACATCTAGTCTATCCTTATCCCTGTCCTAGCTAGGGACATCTAGGCTATCCTTATCCCTTTCCTAGCAAGGGACATCTAGGCTATCCTTATCCCTGTACTAGCTAGGGACATCTAGGCTATCCGTATCCCTGTCCTAGCTAGGGACATCTAGTCTATCCTTATCCCTGTCCTATCTAGGTACCTCTAGGCTATCCGTATCCTTATCCCTGTCCTAGCTAGGGACATCTAGTCTATCCTCATCCCTGTACTAGCTAGGGACATCTAGGCTATCCTTATCCCTGTCCTAGCTAGGGACATCTAGGCTATCCTTATCCCTGTCCTAGTAGGGACACTCTAGGCTAATCCTTATCCCGTCCTAGCTAGGGACATCTAGTCATCCTTAATCCCTGTCCTAAGCTAGGACATCTAGGCTTCCTTATCCCTGGTCCTAGCTAGGGACATCTAGGCTATCCTTAATCCCTTCCCTCGCTAGGACAATCTATCTATCCTTATCCCCTTCCTAGCTAGGACATCTAGTCTATCCTTATCCTTCCTATCTAGGGACATCTGGCTATCCTTATCCCTGTCCTAGCTAGACATCTAGCTATCCTTATAATCCCTGTCCTAGCTAGGGAACATCTAGTCATCCTTATCCGGCCTAGCTAGGACATCTAGTCTATCCTTATCCACTGTCTATCTAGGGACATCTAGTCTATCTATCCTCATCCCCTGTACTAGCTAGGACATCTAGGGCTATCCCTTATCCCTGTCCTATCTAGGACAATCCTAGGCTATCCTTATCCCTGTCCTAGCTAGGGACATCTAGTCTATCCTTATCCCTGTCCTAGCTAGGGACATCTAGGCTATCCTTATCCCTGTCCTAGCTAGGGACATCTAGTCTATCCATATCCCTGTCCTAGCTAGGGACATTCCTTGTTTTCCTTATCTGTATTTCTGTATGTGTAGGCACGCGCTCTGTTGACAAGCGAGAGATGACACTCCTACTCCGGAGCTTTTTCTACAGGCCCCCTGAAAACATAATCCTCTTTAGGATTTTATGTAGAGAAGCTTTGAAGCACATTTCCGGCCACTACCACTATATGACTCATGCCAGCAACTAAGCCAGCCAAAGACATCTCAGGAATGGAACTCTGACCAAAACAACTGTCTGG